ATATATATATATATATTCATATTTCACTTATACAGATTCATAAAATCAAATTACAGATTCATAAGATCAAAAACTAGAAATCACATTCACAAGCCATTTTCCGCAAACAATTTTAGTTAAATTAAATATCCAAAAACAAATAAATAAATAAATTATGGCCAGTAATCTGATATTTAAATTCTATGCTGTTCTACCTAGAATAATTCAGAACTATAATAGGAAGAATAATTATGCACACCAGAAATAAAATAAATTGTTTAAAATGCTACACATCAATTTAGGCATGACAAGATCATAAAGTACACTACGAAAAATGCATATTCATTTTGAGATTAGCTTGTTATTGAATTATTAGTGTTTTAAAAGTGAGTTTTTTAAAAACTTGAGTTTTATCATCTAAATGTAAAAATTGATGTAAATAAGTATGCACAATTGAATATACATTACAATTTCAATTTCACATACAAACTAACCTTTTTACATCAATTTTAAATTGAAATAAAACTCCTCAATTATATATATAATTCTTTTATTATTATATATTATATTATTATATGGTTTACATTGTTTTATACTTTAATAATAACTTTATAAATATTCTGAAAAAACTATTTTCTTTTGACATCCTCCAAAAGGCATGCAATTTCTTTCTTTGGTCTGTGGATGGGTTTATTTGTGACCAAAGGCAAGCAGACAGACAGGGCCTTTCGAGAGTCCGAAAGCTCTCCGTTGGCGCCCATTAGTGCGAGCTGGAGCAGAGCGGAGCCATTAAAGTCTACCTAAGCCCACAATCCCTACTTACAGATGGAAACAATTGTTCAGTATTTACTCTGCGAGATTTGTAAGAGGAAGGTGAGGGGAGAGGAGGGGAGGAGAGCGCAACTTGCCTAAACACTGTTTAAATAGAACACAGGGCGAGAAATCCAACTAAAACACATGTGTGAAATGAAGGAGGTCGAGGAATAAAGAGATTACTAAAGCGGAGGCTGAGCAAAGATGAGAGAGAGAGCGAGACCTTGTTTCCATAGACCGACTAAGAGGGCATCGTGGCTCTGTCTTCTGTCAGAGTGCAGTCCAAGGAAAGCTTGGCAATGCGACCGCACAAAGACCTATTAAAGCATCAGGTCACTTGACTTTACCTTCAAAAAATGGGACATAAGTGGAAAATCTTTTCTTTTAAACACAATTACAGATACAAACAAAACTTCATTTTAGAAGAAAATGTCCCTGGGATAACTCACAGTCATGATGTCCCTTCTTAGGTGTCCTTTAAGAAAACAGTAGATTTAAGTTGTAATGTCTTTAGCGCAACACTGCGGGTTGAGTTTCAGATCAGAACCAAAGCAAGAGCAATAATATTTGCTCATAAACATCACTAAAGAGCAATGAAGCAACCGGCAAATTATTCCTATAAAGGATGCTCAGTCTCAGACAGGTGAAAAGTGATGCATTAATGGATCATGCTGCTGAATCACTGTGATTCTGCTTTCTTATTAACATGTATGTAGTCTAAACAGTGCTCTCATTCACGGCATGCATATAATCGGGACTTTCCAGGTGGTTTGTGAGTCAGAAAAGAAAGAAAAGGGAGGGAGCTGACAACAAAAATTAGATACAGAATGACGTTAATCATTGCCAACTGCTTACATAAGTTGATAGAAATATTTTATCAACAATTTTATCCTAACCAGCATCAAGTCTATGGTTACGTTTACATATATGTGGTTACACAGCACAACGAAATCTCACTAGTCCAAAATCCAGCTCCACACTGTCATATAGGTGCATTCACTCCAGAATTACTTCAATTCTGAAAGAATAACTTCTAAAGAATAACTTCATCGGAATTGTACGAAACTTGGAAACGGTTTTGGCACTTGCTATGTGAACACAAAAGAATTATGGACATGATTTAGAAAGGTTAAATGGTCCTGCAAAAAAAATAAAAAAATTAAAATAGTCACACTTGTACGGTTCACAATAAAAAAAAATGACCACATTGGAAATAGTTTGAAGCAAATTTTATCTAATGGAAACATCTGGTACAGCGCCTAAACAAAATCTCATTTTTGAGATATCAACCTCAAATTTGGAACACAACTTGTTTAGATTATGGCTTTGATTTTCACAGTTTTAGAGTAAAACACTTTTTTAGAAAACACATTTCAAATAAAATTCACAAATATTTTTTTGTGCATTTTTCACAATAATAAACTTAAACTTCTACCATTTTTCTACCAAGTTTCACTTTATCTTTTTCACTTCTTTAAAAAAAAAAGACACCAAACACAAGTCTCTGCTCCAAATAATTTAAGATTAATGTCAGTTAACCGTTAACTGTTAACAAATGGATCATAACTATTCCATGAATATAATTTAGTACCATAAAAGCCCCCCCCCCAAAATGAAAATATCAAACGAAATTTAAAAAAAAAAAAAAAAAAAGTCATTTTTTAGCAGCACCAGAGGTTTAGGACATTTCCAACTTGTAAAATGCGCTCAAATCCTCATACTTGCAACTACTTACTTGCGTAAATTGTAACAATTACTTGTAAACTCTAAATTTGCTGAGAGCTCCTACTTCCTCAACGCCATGTGGAAACACTTAAAATGGCAGTGGCTTTAGCATTACAATGCAGTTAAGCAGTTATTTTGTAATATTCCTATTTAATAACTCCTATAATTGACTACTGTAAATGTCTTAATTATGCAAGAACAATTTAAAAACTAACAAAAGACATACAATGCAGTGTAATGTAGCTAGCAGCGTCAAACCTATCTAATGTCCCGCAAAAACACTATGTTTATTAACAAGGCATTTGCACAACTTCCTGTATTGTGATTTTGTCTATTGATTACTCGAATTACACCAACTCATTTGGAATTAATAGTGTTGAAATTCAAATGCATAATTCCAAGTTCTAAGAAGCGAATTGCTCAGAGAAAAGTAATTACAATCAATCAAATACGTTCTAAATGGCTGTGATTGTGTCAGGTCATGCAGAACTTTTGCTTTTTCACTTTTGTTAGGAAACTGTTAGTAATCTTCTAATCATTCAGGCTTTGTCTATATTGACCCCCCTGACCTTGATGTATGGATGATCCTTGCATGTGGTGCCCCACTGCCGGGCACAACGCTCTTCCTTGCGATGTTCGTAGAACTCTGGGTTTCGCAGTATCGCGACCCTCCGACCACAGTAGGCCAGCGCAAACGCAGTGCTGCCATCCAGGCGCTCCTTATCGGCACTTGAAACCGGGAGGACCACCGGCACCGACAGGTTAATAACCCCACCTATAAACAGAGGAAAGATGCACGGTGCATGCATATATCAACCAGACTGAGGCTTTGAAAAATCGACCGCTTTTAAAGGCCTAAAAAGAAAGAGTCCTATGACCTACGGGGTAAGATAAGAGAAAGAACTCTTGAATGTGAAAGTGGTGAGTTTTCTAAGAAAGTAAGAGGTCCAACACCTTGATTAAAGCAATATGAGCGGGAAGCTTTTAAAATCCATTTTCAGGATGAAACACACACACATAGCAGAAACAGCTGTTTTCCATAAGAAAGAGCCCTGCGAGCATCCCATTTCAGCTCATTTCAAATTAAACTAGTATCAGGCCGCAACATGCACAAATCTGTCCGCTTCATAAAGATGGCAGTCTGGTCCAACAAGAGTCCAACTGGGCATATTGTAAGGATCAAAACAATAAGACAAGGTGTGATGTACAGTAATCAAGTCTAATGACGCTGTTGATGTAATGCATGAACACCTAATGCCTTTCTTTTGCTGTATTCTGTCACAACTAAACACAAGCATCTACTAGGCTCACTTTTTTATCTTAATATGTGTGTGTGTGTGTGTGTGTTTTTGTGACATATGTTATACAAATTTGTATAATGACATGGGTATGACATAGGTATTACAAGGAGAAGGTGATTTATGAGGACATTGCCCCATGTCCCCATATTTCAAAAGGCTTATAAATCATACAGAATTAGTTTTTTTGAGAAAGTAAAAATGCACAGTTTCCTGTAAGGGGTAGGGTTAGGTGTAGGGCGATAGAAAAAACAGTTTGTACAGTATAAAAACCATTACGCCTATGGAATGTCCCCACAATTCACAAAAACAAATGTGTGTGTGTGTGTGTGTGTGTGAGAGTGAGAGTGAGAGAGTGTCAATGCATACCTTGGACGCAAATTTGAATACTAGGCAAGACAACACTCAGCAGAGCCTTATGAGGCTGTAAAACTAAATTGACACTTTTTGGAAACTCAAGCTTGATGTGGGAAATTGCTGTAATTACCCGGTTCTATAAATGCAAGGACCGCATTATGGTTTTAAAAAGCCATTCGCACATTTGTCGTTCTTGTAATCAAAAAGGTACCGACTTTTTATTTCAGATGATCGGGTTTCTGAAACTGGCTTGAGAGCATGTGATCAACATCACCCAAGCCTCCATTAAAACTATAATAGCTCTTTTATTTCTACCACTAATTAACATTTAAAATCCACTTGCTGAGCCTTCAGATTCCCTCACAGAAATGAAATGTTTTTTGCGATTGGACCCCCATTCTGAGTTGTTCTCCTGATTCTACCCTGAAGTTCTGAAATATTAGTAGATTATTAGTAGGTTCTTGGGTTTCTTCATGCTCTACCTGATGTTGGTTTCCAATCAATTTGCTTAAGTTTTCTGTTTTACATAAATGTGCAAAATATTTCTGAAAATTGTTTCTTCCCTCTGTCATCGTCAATTAAAAGAAAACGATTCAGTGAATCCAAACAAGTGGAAATGGTGATGCACTTCTGAATGTAATAGTGGCTGGCAGAAAAAGGTGCATTGCACTGTCGAACGTCGCCATCTAGTGGTGCATTCAGAAGACAGCGCATGAAAAAGAAATCAATGCCATGAGAAGACACAAGATCACATAAGGTCATCTGTTTACCGTCAAGCAGACAGTTGAAGTGCAGGCACTGTAGGTACTCTCCCTCCCTCATGAAGCCGTTCAGAGGAGTGGCCCAGCCCTCAGCGAGCACCTGAACCCACTGCATGTCCACCTAACGCACCAACACAGAACAGACATTAGCTGTAAGGATGTACATAAGTCATGCCTTAAGTCATAATGTGTTTGCAAACCATTTGCAGGAGTTTAAATCTGTATTTGAGTGGCATATGAGGAGGGAAGATACCTTAGTGATCTCCACTGCTGGAAGAGTCTCAGCATCAGCCTTTGCCAAGTCCAGCTTGTTCTCTTGCACATAGAGCTCCTAACGCACCAACACAGAACAGACATTAGCTGTAAGGATGTACGTAAGTCATGCCTTATTAAGTCATAATGTGTTTGCAAACCATTTGCAGGAGTTTAAATCTGTATTTGAGTGGCATATGAGGAGGGAAGATACCTTAGTGATCTCCACTGCTGGAAGAGTCTCAGCATCAGCCTTTGCCAAGTCCAGCTTGTTCTCTTGCACATAGAGCTCCTTGACCTCGTAGGATGCGTCCACAGGAACTATGTCCTGCAAACAGTCAAAACATTATCAAACAGAGATCATTGTCATTTATATCCAAGTATGAGACACTGCTAAGCCAACTTGCAACTTTTTCTATAAGAATCAGTGTTAAAGTACAACTGTGGCCTTGTGTTCATTAAATAAGGATGTCAGCGTACAGTGCATAGAAAAATATCCCATCGTGTAATGTGATAATGATATGTACAAGTTAACATGTACTTAAAATTCAGTTTAAGGCCATATTTAGAATATGATTAGGTTAAATGCTTGAAGGCATCAAAATAAGTCAATTTATTTAATTAATTCTATTTAAAAAATAGAATTGCTGTCTTGTCGGCAACACAGAAATGCATCCATTTAGCCATGAGTTGCCACTGCTAAATAAACTACAGTTCAAATGTTTGGAGTCAGTACGATTTTTTATTTTTTTTTGAAAGAAAGAAAGAAAGAAAGAAATACTTTTATTCAGCAAGAAAGCATTTAATTGATCAAAAACAACAGTTACATACATTTATAATGTTACAAAATATCTCTATTTAAAAAAAAATGCTATTCATCAAAGAATCCTGGAAAAATTAATCACTGTTTGTTTCTACAAAAATATTAGGCAGTACAACTGTTTTTAACATTGATAATAATATGAAACGTTTCCTGAGCACCAAATCAGCATATTAGAATGATTTCTGAAGACTGGCGTAAAAATTAATCTTTGCCTTTACAGGAATAAATTACATTTGTAAAAAAAAAAAGAAAAGTGTTATTGTTATGTTATAATTATCTCATTTCATTGGATTTTGTGAATAAGGTTTATCCCCTTAACTGTCACCTGTGGGATGCTTGGCGCTCTTTTTTTTTGTTGTCCTTTTTCTCTATCAAACATTTTAGTAATCATCATAAATTATATATAATTATATAGAAGTAATATTGACAGAGAAATATAGACATTTGTGACAGAAAAATGCATTTAAAAAATTCAATGGAGTTTGGATGGCACCCGGTGGCTGTTTGTGGTATAACGCCCTAAATAAAATCTCACAGGAACCTTTTTTTCCATATCAACTTCAAACTTGGAACATAACTTATTTAGACATAAGGCTTTAATTTTACACCAATTTTAGAGTAAAACCTGTTATGTAAAATATTTATTATGTATAAAATAAAATAAAATAAAACGAATATAGTGCATTTTATTTACAGTAAATTTAAACTTCTATAACTTTTTGATACTTTAATTTTTTGAAAAAATTCCACTTTTGCAATAATCTGCTGATTTTCTTCTTTAAACAGACCTTAGGTCTGTATTCCAAAGTGTTCATAAATTACAACAATTTAAGTTTGGATAGTGCACTTTCATGCCTATTTAAAAATGGGGGGTGACAGTTAAGGGGTTAAACATGTAACACATTGTGGCATTTACATGACTTCATACTAACTGTTCATTTGTACCATTCAGATTAGTATCAGAATATTTCTTTGCACGTAAACATACTCATTGATGTGACAAACACTTCTGTGCCAAGTGCTGTTCGACTGCCTGCAACCGGTCATTTGAAATATGCATTATTTTGTAAACATTTACATTTACATTTACATTTACACTTAGTCATTTAGCAGACGCTTTTATCCAAAGCGACTTACAAATGAGGACAATAAAAGCAGTCAAAACTAACAAAAGAGCAACAATATATAAGTGCAAATGACAAGTCTCGGTTAGCCTAACGCAGTACACGTAGAGATTAAATTTGAGCCATAAAACACAGCGTATCTACATCAAAAGAGTGAGTGAAAATAAGCATATCTGGACACATATTTTGTACAATACTGTATGTATCTCTATAAAATTGTCTTACCTCTGATTTCTCCAGCCCTAGCTCTCTTATAGAGCCCCTTCACATCTCTCTGCTCACACACATCCAGAGGAGCATCTACAAACACCTCAAAGAATGGAAGGCCAGCAGCTTCATGGATCTTCCTTGCATTCAGACGATCCTGAAGACATGCAGCAGACAAAAAAAACAAAAAAACAATTGATCAAATATTTAACCTTATAAAGCCTACTGCAACAAAGTTGATACATGCATCTCAAAGGCAAGTGCATCTCCCTTCAGGCTGTGGTACATGTGTGTTTTAGCTGTGAAATCCATAGTGATTTTTATAGATTAAATGTGAGAATAACGTGTGAGAATAAGATGAACACTTCCTGGACTGAAGTAACTGAGGTTTACTTGAATATCTTTACATGCATATTGAATATTTCAGTTTGGGCCTCAAGTACGAGCTCCATATTCTCCTATATCAGACTATATGAGCCATAAATATATGGCTCTGACTATAACTTTCTGACTATAACAGAAAATATAAAACACATTATATTTTTCTGAATATTATTTCATATGTCAGGCTTTACACGGTTAAGAAGTCTTACACAAAAAGTTCTGCATGTTTCTCACCCTGCTGTATGGGGAAATGAAGCTGGCGAAGGTGGGCAGCACACTAGGTTGTAAGACACAGGTAATATCTACGCATAAAATTATTATACCTATCTTTTTCATACAACTATCACAACTAAGGACCTCTATTACACAGGCATGATTATTCTGGACTTCGCTTATATTATCAATTAAAACGGGATAGGTCAGATTCAGCATAAGCAAAAACACCATATTCATAACACGAGGTGTGTTACTGTAACTGTACCACATTAGTAATGCAAAACATCCCTCAATATCCAGCCGCTAACAGTTACTCACCCAGCTCTCAGGCGCGTTACTCAGTTTCTGCTTCTTACTCGAGTTACCAGATGTCTCCATTCTGAGCCGCTGAATTCAAACTTGATGGATAAACAAATAGATAGTGCGATATATATTCGAAGGGGATGTTTTAATGAAGTGCCGGGTCCACTGTGTCTGTGTATTGAAGCCCAGAAAGGAAGCGTAAAGGTTTACAGCCTGCGGCACAGGAAGTGATGGAGGCCCCGGTAAGTCCCGCCTCTCACGCGTCAAGTCTCCGCCTACCAGACCATCGGATTGGTCGGAATGACATCAAAGCCGATCGTGATTGGACAATTGAGAACTCGTTCATATAGCCGTGGAAACCAAAGCAAACAAGTATCAGGTCAAGGGTGGGACTTGTCGGAATGCATGCAGGGGAAAAGAATAACGCAGCCAATCATGTTCTGTTTTATATTTTGCTTTGTATAGAAAAAGTCCCTTTAGGCTACATTATTTGTGTGGACCCCACTGACCCAATAAAAAAAATTAAAGAATTTATGTATTAGTGTATGAATATATTTTTTCTATTTTTTTTTTTATAAACAAAACAACTTTTAGGTAACCATCTCTATTACATTTTATGTGTTTACAGCCCGCGGCACAGGAAGTGATGGAGGCCCCGGTAAGTCCCGCCTCTCACGCGTCAAGTCTCCGCCTACCAGACCATCGGATTGGTCGGAATGACATCAAAGCCGATCGTGATTGGACAATTGAGAACTCGTTCATATAGCCGTGGAGACCAAAGCAAACAAGTATCAGGTCAAGGGAGGGACTTGTCGGAATGCATGCAGGGGAAAAGAATAACGCAGCCAATCATGTTCTGTTTTATATTTTGCTTTGTATAGAAAAAGTCCCTTTAGGCTACATTATTTGTGTGGACCCCACTGACCCAATAAAAAAAATTAAAGAATTTATGTATTAGTGTATGAATATATTTTTTCTATTTTTTTTTATAAACAAAACAACTTTTAGGTAACCATCTCTATTACATTTTATGTTTTTTAATATCACTGCTAGTAAATCTTGTATCCTTTATTCATTGTGTCACTGTTTAATTGTGCATTGTTATTCATTGCATATTATAAATGAAACTGTTGTGAAAGATTAAACAGTGTATATATACAAGGTATTTTTAGGTTAAAATTAGTGCTCTCAAACGATTAATTGCGATTAATCGCATCCAAAATAAAAGTTTTTGTTTACATAACATATATGAGTGTACTGTTTATATTTATTATATATATATATATATATATATATATATATATAAATACACACACGTGTAAAATGCGTGTAATGTTTGAATTAACATTACTCACATTTCAGCGCTGAAGAGACATTTTAAAACTGATCAAATCGGGTGACTGTAAAATGCTTGTATATGTTTGAATTATTCACACATTTTAGCGCTGAAGAAACGTTTTATAATTGATAAAACCTGGTGACTGTAAATGCGTGTAAATATAAGTTTGAAATATTCACATTTCAGCACTGAAGGGCCATTTTAAAACCATACACTCACTAGCTCGACAGCTTGCTGAGCACCGATTTGATAGCGTTACTTCTGGTAATACTACCTGAATAAAATACTGGTGGTGAGGAATATAAGAAAATGTTTTTACCATGTAGGTGCAGATGCAGGTCAATGCAGTTGAAGGACTTCGGATGGCAAATGGCGATGTATAGCAGATGTCCTTCGAACTTGTGTCCTCTTCGGGAAAAAAGTGCTTTTCAAATGATGTTTGTAAAAAAATTGTCATCCCAAGTACCTGACTGAAAATGATTTGGGATGCTTGAAAATTGCTAATTAACCAAACTGACAAAACAGTAACGCACTTTGACCAAACTTGTACTCGCACTTGTACACCCAATAAAAAAAAATATATATTAAAATACTGCATTGTACTGTATTTAACACAGCCCACAATGCATTGCAAACAGTAAAAAACCGTATTACTTAAATACAGTAGAGTACTGTTAAAAATTGGCTGTAAATTAACAGCAATTTCTTAAACTGCAAAATATTGCCCAGAATGCATTGTTTTCTACAGTACATTACTGTTTTAATGGAAAACAGTATGTTACTGTCAGATTTTGGCCGTTTTTTTACAGCAATTTTTTACAGTGTAGGTTTACCATAGTACACCCAGCACTGGTTTTTGGATGGTTTTTTGGGGGTTGGCACTGGCTTAACCGTGTTTGGTACTTTATGTATTGTGGTTGTTTGCGTAGCAGAAGTGGGAAAAGGACTGGTTGCCTCATATTCCACGCAGTCACCGTCTCGCTCCTCATCCATCGGTGTAACTTCATAACCTTCCAGAAGAACAACATCCTCACCTGAGCGCTTCTGGAGCTCTGATCAACAGAGGACAATTGGGACTAAAATTCAGTGGTTCTGCCATTCACAATCATAACAAACCAGTGGAAATGTATGACACGTCTACATATATTAGAATGAAAGAATTTAGTATAATATTCAGAATGGGAATGTACTTACTGCGCAGATCTTTGTGGCAAATAACATTTCTACCTGTGATATAGCACACATGAATTTTAGTTTGAAAAACCTTCAGAACTACTTCTGATTAATTCATAATTTTAGCATAGGTTTAGCTTCAAAATTAAGACTAAAGGAGGTCATTGATTCAGTTAAGCATTAAAGCATTAATGTAAACTATAGTTTTCAGAAACATACCTTCTGTATTATATGGCTGTGAGGTGAGAATAACCAGTGCAGCAAGCAGTCCAAGAGCAATGTTAACATCCATGGCTGCAAATGAAGCAAAAATCCTGTCAACGTGCCTTTTATAGGCCTATACTTTAAACCTGCCCTTGTGGAGTGCCACAAATTGTGAAATCACCTGAGGCATTGACTAAATGACTTTATTTGTTAGAAAAAAAAAACATTTTAATTATGTCTGAATATCTTTTGAGACTTCATTTGTATGTGGCTGGAGTGTTCGCTGTTCTAGCAGGTGTTGGGAGTTGATTTCACCACTGAGGAGTTAAGACAAATAAGTTGGTGACCTGGATCTGGGGAAGCAGGGGCACTTTTATGTGGAGGTTAGGTAACCATATGTTTCTACACATGCACCCAGGGTGGGCTTGAAATCAAAGAGGAACTGGCAGACAATGGAGAGACTTGGGCAAAGGTGTGACATGTGAAAATGCCAGAAACCGTTGATTCAGATGAAAAATATTTACTTCAAACCCACTCTGATCATTATTGGAGAGATGTAGACTTGTTTGAGGCTGCAAATGACTCACTGAATATCCCTTATGG